ATTATCTGAAAACCTGAACAAAGGGTTTGTGTTGCTTTTGCTATGGCTGTTTTGGGCGTTTAGCCTATTTATTCCAAAGAACGCCACGCAAACCAGGGTTGATTTTGTTCCTTTTTTCCCTTTATTTTGATTACAATTTGCTTTTCTTTTCCTTCTGATTAATTGTGATCGAATTGTTCTGTGCAGGAAACAAACACATTGTTGTTGGAATTATTGTCTGGTTGTTTATTGGTTTTTTTCTCTCTGAAATGGGAGGAATATCGGATAACATTCGTGGGTTTGCTTTGGCAATCTCTTCAAGTATATTCATTGGTTCTAGCTTTATAATAAAGAAAATAGGCCTCAAAAGGGCGGGTGCTTCTGGAACTCGAGCAAGTTAGATTTTTTCGCATCCTTTTTAATCCGTTCATTCTTTATAGTGTTTATTCTCTCAAGTATTGGAGGTGAATTACTGTAGAGTATATTAAATTGAATATGCGCTTTCCGATTAAATGTACATGTATGAGTTTCTGTTATTGAAATATATGAAAAATAAATAAAAGAAAGTGTTTAGATCTTACTTCACACTAAATGTATCACATATATAAAAAGTGGTGGCCCTGTAATCTATATATAATTATTTCAAACTTGTATAATTACATGTGTGTATTCATTCTTTTTTGGACTAGCATGTTATGTACTGAAGAAGAGTATTTTTTTATCAGGCAATGGAGGCTACTCATATCTTAAGGAACCTTGGTGGTGGGCTGGGATGATTACAAGTAAGATATGCGAGAAGCACAAAATTATCGAATTGCAATTGTTTTCTCTCTTATTAGCCATTTAAGATTCCTTAACTGCTTTTTTGGTGATAAGAAATCATTAAATCAAGCTTCAATTTTTTGACTATGAAGGTGCATGGACATTAGTTTATGCATCACCATGTGAGTTTTGTTTCAGGGTCTTACAGAGCTATACATTAAGAAATATTAATTTCAGTTACATTTATTTTCTTGCATGACCAAATCTCTTCTATGTTAATATATGTTGATCAAATCAATGTCACGTGAACAAATTCATGATACTTTCTCTTACTTTTAAGATGAAAAAGCATGCCATACTTAAAATATGAGGTAATTGTTAAATTCTTCCAAAACAGAATTGTGAAAAAACCTTTCGATAGAGTATTTGCGGATAGGCCTTGATGAGAAGATTCTTCATCTCTTATGACAAAATCCAATCCACTAATATATATATATATATATATATATATATATATTTATTTATATTTTATGTTGTGTGCCCATTTTCGACTTTAGCAACTAAAATAAAAGTAGCATACAAAACTGATTGCTTAATGAGTTGAGAAAATAGATAAATCATTATATTTCATCTCTAAGATGCCCTTCTCTTATTCTAGTAGAAGTTTACTACAATCTATGTCAAGATTTTCTGTCCCTTTCTTTTCTCTCATTTGTGATGCCAAGTCTTGAACAACGTTAATTATTCTATTAGTTTGCTCTATTAATTGTTCCTAGTCCAGTAACCTTTACAAATTCACTGATTTCCATATCCATACTTGGAACTCTGTTATTTGAGTTTTAATTTTAGTGGACATGTGGATGCAGTGTTTGTTGGAGAGGCTGCAAACTTTGCTGCCTATGCATATGCTCCAGCTATTCTTGTAACACCACTGGGAGCCCTAAGTATCATTTTCAGGTACTAACAATATAAAAACACTTAAGACTTAAGAGGGGTTTTCTAGCAGCCTTTCTATGTAACTAACATAAAGAATTTTGTCTTGCAGCGCAATATTGGCTCATTTTTATTTGGACGAACGTTTACATATGTTTGGTGTGGTTGGTTGTATTCTTTGCTTGGTTGGTTCCGTAACGATAGTTTTACATGCTCCTTTGGAAAAGGATATTGAATCTGTCAAACAAGTATGGCATCTTGCTACTGAGCCAGGTATTAAATTGCTTGGTTTTTTTTTTCTTTTGTTCTTGAATTCTACAAATGGGAGTCCATCCATTAAAGTCTTCTACAATATCTGTTTGTGATATTCTAGGAACATCTTGAAAAATCAAGAGCAAAAATGGTATAGCTTGAAATTTGGAGTCAGTAAACTAGTGCAACACTGAGAAATTATTGAAAAATAATTGAAACTGTCTTTAACTTGTAAAGAGACAAAAATGGCTCAATTTAAGGTGTATGATACTGACATTCCTTAAGTACATTCCTTTCCAAGTGCTTGAGGTGCATCAATTTTTATCTGAAGGCCAGTTTTATTTTTCCCTAACTTTTAGTTTTTTATTTGTTTGTTTGTGCAGGTTTTATAGTGTATACTTTTGTTGTTTTGGCTCTGGTCATCGTTCTAATTGTTGTATATGTGCCACGCAATGGACACACACACATGGTCGTGTACATTGGAATTTGTTCGCTTATGGGTTCTCTTACGGTCAGTTTGTTTGACATATGTCTTATGTTTTATAGACAATAGTTGCGTATCATAGTTATTTATCCCCTCTTTCGTGTAGGTTATGGGTGTGAAAGCTGTTGCAATCGCTCTGAAGTTGTCACTGTCAGGATCAAATCAGTTTATATACTTTCAGACTTGGTTTTTCACTATTTTGGTCGTCATTTTTTGTGTCACGCAGCTGATATATCTGAACAAGGTATTCTTCGTATCAATTTACAGCTCGGCTTTTTAACCAGATAATTTACAGAAAATAATAACAACGCTCTAGGTTTTATCCTTGCATTATTTCAGGATAACCCTTCTTCTTTTCCTTTTGGAATGTAACTAGTTTAAAACTTTGACATTAGGAGATAATAAAATTCACTAGTTGTTATTTCTATATATGATGATTTTTATTACCTCTCATCTATTATTCATTTGTCTCCTTGAATAAAATTCCGTTGTGGGCCTTTACTAATGAAACCAATCAGAATAACCTAAATTCTTGATGTCTCCTAGTCGTCAATTCTTAAACGTTTTCAATTTCTCTATCCAGGTATAGAAAAATTGCATGAGTCAATGAAAGGGGGTGATTGACTATAGATTAAAACTGGTTTTGACTTACCGAATAATTTTTTTACACCTTTTGAACTCAAAGTCCAACTCAAATATAATTCAAACCAACACTCCTCAATATTATCAATATAATTAAATAATACAATCAACCATCCTCACACATCACATCAACTTTAATTCACTATTCATCTACTCACATATTCTTAATAACCTACCATCTCCAAAAACGTCTGTCCTACTTTTTCATCACATCAACTTTAATCATTACATTTTAAATATTATTTAAATACAAACTCAAAATCTCGCTAGATCCTCCACTCAACCAGCTTTATTCAAAATTAACTCATTTTAACCAATAAATCCAATCCAAACTGGTTTTATTTATATCCAATCACTAGTTTGTTATTAATCTTCGACGTTTTNATGTAAGTAATAACTTAATATAGTTTAGTTTTCTTGTCCTCTCACCCACTGTTACCTTGGCAATATGTTGATGAATTTCGTTGTTACTTCTTTCAATATGTTGATGAATTTTGCCGTCACTTCTTTCATGCTATTCTCCTTTTCCGTCTCTTGTTCAATTTTCTGTCGAGATATTCTTTAGTCTTATTAGTAAATGTATTATGATATTGAGTTAGATGCTTGAGCTATGTTATGTAAATCTTTTAGTTGGAAAAATTTGGTCATTCACCATTGTTAATTAACTGTAGAAATATTCGTCTTTGCAGGCATTGGACACCTTCAACACAGCAGTGGTTTCCCCAGTGTATTACGTCATGTTCACCACCCTTACTATCTTAGCCAGCATGATAATGTTTAAGGTCATAAAAGAACACAATAAGTTCTGTATGGAAGATTGATAATTTATACAAATAAGCGACTTGTTAACTAACTATACGGTGAATTGTTTTGTTTAAAAACTGTCAGGAATGGGATTCTCAAGACGCATCTCAGATTGTAACAGAAATTTGCGGGTTTGTGACCATCTTAAGTGGAACATTTCTGCTGCATAAGACCAAAGATATGGGAGGTTCTTCCACATCATCACCTTCCTACCACAGGTCTCGAGATTCAAGTCCTACAAATGAAGCTCAACCATGAAATTCTTGCATAAAAAATCATATACATATATATAGATATATATTTATATGTTCTTGTGTCAACAAATATGCATTTTTATTACGCAATACCTTTACCCCAAACTCTTCACACAGTTAACCATTCTTACACATCCATGCCTTGTTTATTATTATTATTATTTTTTTTTTCTCTTTTGGTAGTTTTTCAATTAAGCATAGACAGATATTCACTAGAATTAGATTCCCCCATCATATTTACACCATTAGACTAATTGATGTTTGCTTAGAGAGAAGAATTTTTGTTTTAACGTAATTATTTATTTACGTATTTTTATTTTTTTTCGTTGATGCTAACGCATAACATAGGATATATCCAACCCTTTTGGCTATTATAGAGCTTTTCTATAAATAGTTTTTCTGTTGTTGATGCTAACGCAGGCATAATATAGATACACCATGAATCATTTCATGGATGTCTTCATAATATAGATACACCATGAATCATTTCATGAATCATTCATATTTTTTTATAAATAATGTATTGACAAGAATTCTAAAATAAATACACCATGACTCGAATCAATGAATCATTTTATGGATGTCTTCATAAAGAATACATGCTCTAGAGAAATTTTGCTACTGCAGATTAGTTTTAAGAGCCCAAAATTTATTGTGAAAACTAGCAATTATAAGTTGGTATAGAGAAACTAGCAAGCTAAGCTAGCCTCAAGGTTCACAGCACGTTTGAAAAGCGTCATTAGTCACCCTTGTTTGTTATATATCAAAAAACTTCCAAAAACATGGGGTGAGCTAGTTGCCAGTAGAGCTGGTAATTTTGTACCGAAAACCGAAAATCGAACCGAATCAAACCAAACCGAACCGAACCAACAAGAAAAAAAATTAAACCGAACCAAACCGCTTGTAGCGGTAACCGAAAATCGGTTACCGAACTGTTATCGGTTCGGTATCGGTTCCGAAACCTTAAGGATTCGGTAAAACCGAACCAAACCGATAAGGATAAAAAAAATAAAAAATAAAAAACTTAGTAGACTTATAGATATAGTTACAGATTACTTGTTTAGACATTAGTACTTTAATCTAGTATTTAATATTTTATTAGAGTATTCGTTAATAGTGATTACATTAGGCTCAATTTTTTTAATTTAATTCATTTATTTTTTTTTAAATTATGTGNCCAAAAAAAAAAAAAACCAAATTGCCCTTACTCATCACTCCAACAGGAAGAAAGAAAAGCAGAGCCCTGTGAACAATGAACATGTTGGTAGCATGTGAATATGGAAGTGAACTTGAGACTTTTTTCTTGATGCTGTGAAGTGGCCACTGAGAACATATTGAGAGCCTTGTAAATGGGAATCATTTTGTTGGTATTTTTTTTTCGGTTTTTTCGGTTCAAAGCCGAAAGCGAACCGAGTTTTCAGTAACCGAAAATTCATCATGAATGTTGAAACTTAATCAAGTTGCATTATTATTGGTAAATTTCAGTTTTTTGGGTAAAAAATCGTTACCGAACCAAGCTTAATCAAATTACATATTTATTGGTAAATTTCATTTTTTTTGGTAAAAAACCGTTACCAAACCGAGTTTTCGGTTACCGATAACTATCGGCACGGTAACGGTTTCATATTTTGTTGTTACCGAAGTAATCGGTACAGTATTGGTTTGTTCTTATCGGTTCGGTAACCGAACCGATACCAACCCTAGTTGCCAGGGGTAAAGAATGTAAAATTTTTAGAAATATTTTTACAAAACGTCAAAGCGAGCACTTGATGTGAAAAATAAGTTTTGTGTGTTCAGACACTATGATCACATAAATCATAATAAATCGTGTAACTCAAATTGTTTCAAACATGTAAGTCAAGATCACATAATGCGAGGAATATCTCTCTTGCAAGTATCACTTAGGCTCTCTCTAGGGTTTGAAACAATTTGAGTTACACGATTTATTATGATTTATGCGATCATAGTGTCTGAACACACAAAACTTATTTTTCACATCAAGTGCTCGCTTTGACGTTTTGTAAAAATGTTTTTAAAAATTTTACATTCTTTACCCCTGACAACTAGAGTTGATATCGGTTCGGTTACCGAACCGATAAGAACAAATCGATACCGTACCGATTATTTCAGTAACAACAAAATATGAAACCGTTACCGTACCGATAGTTATCGGTAACCGAAAACTCTGTTCGGTAACGGTTTTTTACCAAAAAAAAACAAAATTTACAAACAAATATACAATTTGATTAAGTTCCGTTCGGCAACGATTTTTTACCGAAAAAACCAAAATTTACCAATAATAATGCAACTTGATTAAGTTTCAACATTCATGATGAATTTTCGGTTACTGAAAATTCGGTTCGGTTTCGGCTTTGAACAGAAAAAACCGAAAAAAAAAACCAACAAAATGATTCCCATTGTGACTTAAGGTTGGTTGGGTTTGTTGTGGGTGAGAATCGGACGCTTATCTCATTTTTACTGGTACTCTTGATTTTTGAGATAAGATATTTATAATTAATTTTGAAATGATAATAATTGGTGTTAATTTATATTAAAAAATAAAAATTACTAAAATTCATATTTTTACACTCTTTATAAATAGAGAGCGCATTCATATAATTTGGAATACAATTGCAAATTCTCACTTTTCACCTTATATACCTTATTAATTTTTTCATCTCATCATTTTTTCCTAATTTCCAACAAATAGCATATGAATACAAATTTTGAATATTATTTCAACTCTCAAAATTTTTCAAATTTTAAAAATTATTCAGATAAGTCATTTTTATTAAAAAATTGAGTAGGTTAAAGTTCAGGTTGCAAAACAATCATTCAACTAGAGATGGCCAAATGACGATTCTAGGCCGGGTTTTGAAAGCCCTGACAGGCCTGAAAACATACACGGGCCAGTTCAAATCGGCGGTTTTGGGCCGACACGATTCATTAAAAAAAAATTTAAAAATAACAAAAAATTCAAGAAAAAAAGGGCCGAACCTCCGGTTCTGATTCCAATTCGGAACCGGCCCGACAGTCCAAAAAATTACAAATATGTGGCCTGAAACCGGCTGGTCATACTATGGGCTCGGTTCAAGGCCCATTGACCACGGGCTGATTCCCGGCCAGTTCGGCCCGTGGTCATGTCTACATTCAATAACTAATCTTTCATATTATTATACAATTTATTCTTTTTCATAGATTATTTTAAATAATAATCTTTCTATATTTTGTGGTCATTATGAGGACAAACAATATCGATTTCAAATTCTTTACTTATAGTTATTAATAAATTTGCATAATTAATATTACTTAAGCAATTATCTTATTTGATAGGATACTTATGGTCAAATAAATTCTTAAATTTTATTAAGAAGATCATAAAAGCATTTAAGAATCTTAAATTAAATCAATAAATAAATATTTAATATATAAAAGTTTTAATTCTCATTATTTATTAACGTCCATCTTGAAAATAAATTGCCCAAATTCTAGATATCTCACATCGGTTGTGAAGGAGAACGAAGCATGCCATATAAGTGGCTGTGGATACCTTCATTAGTAGGACGCGTTTTGGTGAGGCAAGCTCCTAAAGGCAAAACCGTGAGGGCCGCTAGTTGCCCAAAGCAGACAATATCTTACTATGGGTTTAGATGCTGGGCTGCCAGTACCCGGGCCATGTGCCAGCGAGGACGCTGGGCCCCTGTGTGGGGGGTGGATCTATATATCCCACATCGGTTGTGAAGGAGAACGAAGCATGCCATATAAGTGGTTGTGGACACCTTCACTAGTAGGATGCGTTTTGGTGAGGCAAGCTCCCAAAGGCAAAACCATGAGGGCCGCTAGTTGCCCAAAGCGGACAATATCTTACTACGGGTTTAGATGTTGGGCTGTTACAGTAAGGTAATAATAATTAAAATACCATGATATATTTTAGTTATTATTGTATGAAAAAGTTTAAATATTTTTAAGTGTTAATAATTAAAATATTACTTACCTTGATATTAAAAACTAATGGTCAGGTGAAGATTCATTAACTTTTATTGGCTTTGGGGCCAAAATTGGAAAAAAACAGATAAACAAAAAAATAAATGACAATTTTTGTGCGATCAAAATTCATTCTAGTAAAAATAAAGTGCAATTTCTAATTCAAATTCTAAATACTAGAGTATTTTTCTTGAATAATGAAGTAATTAAATTAATTGTTTCACTTTTCTATTTTGTTAGATTATGTATATATTTCACGAGCGCATAATTTTTCGACTTGGGCCCCAACGTTAGTGAGAATACTCGGCATGATTTTGCTAAACTTTTAGGTATCTTCTCTTAATTAAAGTTAAGTATGTATCTTTGAAATTATTTATTATATGCAAGTTACCTCTCAACTAAGTTGTCATTTTTCATTAGTAAAATTTGTAGATAGGTAAATAAATAGTTGAAAATATTTGAATTCCTTATAAGTATTTATTATGTTGTTTTTGTTGGATCAATATTTTTTTTAAAGAACTTTATATATCAGAATCATTAAATGTGATTACGATTTTACCATTAAAATTATAATGAAAATAAAAATGTTTGTCAAAACAACAATTTTATATCCTTTCAAAGATTGTTGTTTGGATCGAAGTTGGGTTGATTTTTTAGAGATATAAAAGATCAGTTTGGGAGATATGTGAAAAAAAACAAACTCGTTAGGAATAATGGTTGTATTCAATTAATTAAATATTAGTTATTGATAAACATATAAGATAGGATGGATATTGATACATTACTAATTTACCATTAAAAATATGTCAAAAGACATTAAAAATATGTCCAAGTAATAGTTTTTTATGTTGTTCATTTTTCTTTATTTATATAAATAGATAGATTATTTTGGATGAATAACGTGTATATATAAATAATACATCATTCTTGTAAGCTAATCATTATCAAATGGAATAAAACATTAAATGAATCATTAAAGTGAAAATAGAACACCAGCCAATTGAATAAAACATGAAATGCAACTTTTGATTACGGGATGTCATTTCCCTTCATACAAGGAATGCCATTGAGATGAAAAGGATATTGTAACAACAAATTTTATTTTGAAGTCCCACCGAGCATGCCAAAATTTTGTAATAATAAATTTCGTGTATTGAATTTATAAACACGAAAAATATTATTCAGATGAATTTTGTCGAATCAAAATAAATATAACGGGTTACAATCTCTACTATTTTAAGTCTTGGAGCGAAATCTTCGGTTTGATCTTCTCCTTGACTTGATTTGACTTGAATTAACGTTAATCCGAGGGCCAACGCCTTGATTTCGGATCAAACGCCTTAATATCCCAAGAACGCGAAGAACACGAATCTTTGGTCTTCGTCGCAAAGTAGATCTTGAATCTTCTCAACGCCGGTTTTGAATTTACTAACGTTATTCGGAGGCTTTGCAGCTTGTTTTCGAATTGAACGCCAGTCTTGAGGTTGAATGCTCTTGAACTTGAATATGAATTATGAGTGGTTGAACGCTCTTGAACTTGAATATGAATTATGAGGTGTTGAATTTTTTGAGGTGTCTTAAGTGTGATTTGTGACTTTGAAAAGAACCCTATTTATAGGTGTAGGAAAGAGAGTATTAGAGAAGAAAACATCAATTCGATTGGTTCTTCTTGATTTGATATAATCTCTTTCCTTATAATCTCTTTCATAATCTTAAAATTTGATTTAGTGGCCAAGAAATTATAGCTTTATTAATTAAATATCTTATTTATCTTAGATTTATGTCCCAAAATAAATAAAGACACTAATTAATAAAATATTAAAATTTCAATGTCTACAAATATCATAGAGATGAACAAGGAGTCCAGGACAACTGCGCTTGCTTGCGTAAGTAAATTTAGAAGCCAAACATAACATCCCAAATCCTTCATAATAAAATCATAGTATGTTCTTGCATATAGCAAATAGATATAGTAGCACTAGATCCATCCCGTTAATCCATACTTGTCAGCCACATTGAACATCACAAGTTCCTCCCAAGCATGGCCAAGCAGTCTTTCACCTCCGATGGCAAAGGTAAGAGCCCATGAAGAAAGGATAGTCATGAAAATGAGGAAACCAATTGCGGATCCAACAAGATCTGCAAAACGTTGTCAAACAAGCATGAATTGACAACTAGGAGTAGCAAAAAAGACTAAGCTAAATAACTAAATTAAGAGGCTTCTATTTAGAAAACCAATTCAAGAAAGGGGAGAAAAATGTTATTGCCTCTTTTTTTTCAAGCTACCTACCCATATTAACTACTTTATTTTTTCTTTTTTACAGTCTACAATATGAACTTTGCGAAAATTTCAATTTGCAACCTCAGTTGGTTCCTTTTAGGATATCGGCCAAGTCAAATGCTATGGGGTTCTCTTCACAAATTCAAAGGAGACAAAAAACCTCTCAAAACAAATGCAGTCTCGAAGCCAAAACCTCAACTCACGAATTGTGGGATATGGGATATGGAGGTTAGAACACAGCCAGAAAGCCCCGACAATTGGATCACCGAGCTCAGACTGTCAGCAATAAATCTCATCTTCAATATTCATAAGGGTTCATTTCTCGGTTTCTCACTTTGCAAATTCAGTGTTTTGAAGGTAAGTTGAGCTGAAGTGATATGAAAAATGGAAACTCAAAGGTCAAGCTCTTCTAGATGACATGACCATAACCCTACAAGAAAACCGGCTGAGGTGGCAAAAACCGGGTCCAAATCTGAAATGGGGGACAAACTGAAAATTTCACAAAATTCATATGGTGGATTGTAGAAAAAATAATTGACATGATAAGTTGAAAACAAATATATAGTTCAGGGGATAAATTGTTTTCCCATTACAGAAAAAGAAATGAATGACAACTAAAATTAAATGAATAGAGCTGAAATATTAAATTAAGGTGATTGGATTTAACAAGGGAATAAATGAAAAGGTAATGAATCAACATTTCAAACTAAATGAGTAGAGCATGCAGCGGTGATCATACAAGCCTGGACCTTGTTATACAAATGCAAACATGATGCAGGCATATTTCGAGGTACGTAAAGCTAATCACTAGATAAATTGACGTGATCTGTTTGGTGTACCAATGAGGTTTTTCATGTGTCAAAGTCAAAATTGAACGCACTGTAGATAAAATACATTCCAAGAAATCTAGATTGTAGATTCTAGTGAAATTACAAGGAATATTACATTAGCAGTAGGAACAAGCTTGAGGTTCTCTCGAATGTCATTAGAGACCAGAGCAATAGTCATTATTTTAAATACCTCTTAATCGATGAGAGGCCCAAAAAAAAATCATTAAAATTTTTAAAAATGTCGATCAATGAATTGATTCGAAATGAAAACTCGAGCAGCACACAGCAAGTTCTCATACAACATAACTTGGAGTTGCAATTGAATTTCATGGCTGTCATGATTATAGCAAAACTGAAAGACCAATTAGTTATTCAAGATGTTGTACAATGCCATTTTTTATACCTCATACGCAAGAAGTGTTCTCTTTTATGTGTAACATCGAGTTTGGTCTGCCTTTATAAATCAAGAACACTGTCATGATCTCAAGATCTCGCCCAAGATTTTTTTTTTTCTTTTCCAGAACACAGAATAACATGTCCAAATAGCAAACTTTCTATACAAATAGATGAGTTAAAGAGGAAGGCTATACATGGTGCAATATAAAAAACACATTGAGGCAAAACAAGGAGGTAACTTGTATACGTTCTGGTACATATTGCTCTTATCACTTTTGATGAAAACACAGATTCTGATCTTAGTCCAAAGCGCCTATGGGGGACAAAACTTTGCAAATCGAAGATATATCTAATACCCAAAATTGGGTCATTGCGAATGCAAATCAATGTAGGAAAGGAGACATACAACGGCGGAGGACGGGATGCGAGTGACGAGAATGAGGATAGCGAAGGACGGGCCAGAAGTAATAGCAATTGAGGGCCCAAAGGAAAGGCAGGCATAAGAATCCCAACTTGAAGAACCTCCTGGCATAGGGTAGAGAGTCTTCGTGGCAGAGGCCAAGCGGCCCGTCAATAGTGGGCCATTCTAATCTTCGTCGGGATGAAAAGGCGTCGTTGGCGGTGGTGGTGGTGAGAGGAATGCTGGTGGCCGCGTCGGACGGAGGACTCGGAGAATCGCTGTCCATTTTTTGGGGTAAAGGTACATGGACAAGGTTGACTTAAATGCTTATTAATTAGAGAAAATTACATTCGATATATTTCGGATTGTACTAATCATGGTAAATGTAATCTATATATATATAATTGCTAGCTAAGCAATAAATTTTACATATGTGGCAAATTATTAATAAAACCTAATAAATAGAACCTAATAAATTTTATTTATGTGGCATTAATACACCCAATCTCATTAATAAGAAAATATTTCATTACATTTTTTGGGTTAATTAAGACAAAAACCATTATATTTTATGTTAATTGATTAATAATTATATATTTTATTGAATTATATAATAGTTAATATTAAAACTAGTACTTATATTTTATACTAAATAATATATGAAAGTTACATAAAGTTATATTTTACACTAAAATCAATATTTTTTTATATGATGAAGATGTTGTTTATTAATAAATTAATTTTTTTTATGTCATATTAAAATTTCTCAAAATCACATAAGCAATTGTTATAATAAATGTAATATTTTTCAGCTAATTAATTGATCATGATCACTCAAAATTATAAAAAGTATATATTTATTGCATTTTATGCAACTAATATAGTGATTCGTATACAATCAAATCGTGTGTACTATTTATTTTAACCAATGATCAAATTTTAAAATATAATACTATTATATAATTTATAATTTGAAGATTATATACATAAATATAACTTATAATACTATATATTTGAAATATAATACAATTATATAACTTATAATTTTTATATTATATACATAAATATAACTTATAATATTTAATTTTATTTACATATGTGCAAATGCACAAGGTCAAATAGTAGTAATTAGAATTGTCTACAAAAAATCTTTAAGTGCAGCGGATCTAAATATTAGGGTTGAATGTTAATGGTTTTAAATATTATGCAAACTCTGGTTTGATTTACTCGATCTACGGAACCGAACGAACTGATATCTTGATATCGTGATCATCTGTTAAATTGCTGACACCTACTCTGATATCTGGAATTCTCCACTTAAAGGCTTGCTCGATTGCTTTGGAGAAAGAAGGAAGAAGATTTTGTGTTGTTGGACACTATCTTTTTCTCTCTTTTCTTTTCTTTTCTTAAGCTCTCGATTTCTCTCTCACAATTGAAACTCATGCATGGTTCTCTTAAGTAAGAGCGGCGGCCCAATCTTTTGGTGGCAAGGTGTATATATAGGCTACAAAAGTGACCTTAAAGAGGCGTTAAATAAGTGGGATTAGTAAATGTCAGAAGGGGGCCTCTTTTCACTCGGTCGAGGCCTACTATAGATGGTAAGCAAATAGGTCTATGGCTTGCTCCTGTCAACTCATCTTAAGATTAGGTGTTCTTAGGTTCTGGTCAATCTACACTCAACACATAAGTATGATACCCCATTCCACTATAGGAATGTTATTGAACTTCCTATTTGACACCCAAATTATATTGAGGCTCTAGATTTATCTACTCAGTTTATCTCCCCATGTTCATAATATAATGTCCATTAATTAATTTAATTACTGACAGTTGAATTAATTAACTTATTGTTTTGAACTAGTACCACTCAATATTATTATTATGATGGAACTTAATTCGCCTGCAGAGTTTGACATAATGATTCTATTCAACTCATTTCGGGGACATCATCAACCTGGCGCACCAGGACAAAATGTCCGTAAATAATCGAACAACACGCCATACAAACTACATTATTTCCTAACTCACCCAATTTGTTGATTTAACATAATAAATCTCACTTTTTGGTGAATCAAAGAAATATCTACTGAATGCACACGCTTGTTATTATCTTACAGATTAAGAGTATGAGTAAGAACTGAGCTCTATTTTATTTACATGGTAAGCATAAAATAAACTTATCTTTCGTGGTACGTTCGATACACACCAGTGCAATTCAGTAGTCAAGACAACTAATTTCAAAATTACACTACAACAATTCACTAAGTTAGTTTAATTCTATTTCAGTTGTGAATCATACTTTATGTTTTACAAGGAACTGATAATATGATCTTCTGTTCAACACGATGAACAATAATGTAAATAAATAGAACATAAATATATTTAATTAAACATGATTCACATCCAAATGAAAATAAGTTCGTAACAAAGCCAAACTTTTAGTATACAAACCAACAATCTCCCATTTATATTTAAAGTTCTGGCACTTTCTAAGTATACAACTTTAAATCTTATTCTCAAATAACCATGTCAATCCTACATAAACTCTATGAGGCCATCGGATGGCTCCCTTATTGAGCCATCCATAACTTTATTTACTGAAACATGTCCAATTTGTATTTATTGCAGGACACGTGTCACTACACCATTTGTGAACTATGGATGACTCCATAAGCCGAGCCATCCGATGGCACCAGAGCAAAACCGATCAATCCTATTGCCAGTCTTCGGACACTCATTCCTCCCACGTGTCTGTTAAAGACTTTCGTCGGTAGACTCTTCATGAAAGGATTCGTCAAGTTGTCCTTCGATTCCATCTTTGAAACCACAACCTTTCCTCTTCCTACGATCTCTCGTATCAGGTGGTGTTTGCGCTTTACGTGTTACTCACCTTACCAGCTCGTGGTTCCTTTGAGTTTGCTACTACAACACTATTATTACAATAAATTGTGATGTCTTTAGGCAAACTCGGTACCACATCCAAGTCCAACAGGAAGTTTCTGAGCTATACAACATCTTTTATTGCTTCAGAAGCAACGACGTACTCGACTTCCAAGGTAGAGTTCGCTACACATTTTTGTTTGGCACTCTGACATATTATGGCTCCACCTCCCAGAGTAAATACATACCCTGAAGTAGATTTACTTTCATCCCAATCCAACTGAAAGTCGGAATTAGTGTAGCTCACTGGGAGCAATTGGCTCGTCTAGTAAACTAGCACATAGTCTTTGGTCCTCTTCAGGTACATGAGTATATATTTTACCGTGGTGCAATGCCCCTGTCTTGGTTTACTTTGATACCTACTCACCATGCCAATGGCATAACATATCTGGTCTCGTACACAACATCACATAAATGAGACTTTTTACAGCCGATACATAAGGAATTCCTCTCATGTCCTCTATCTATTGAGGTGTCTTAGGAGACATCTCCTTAGATAGTGGAACCCCATGGCGAAATGGTAAGAAATATTTTTTGGAGTCTTGCATGCTGAAATAAGCTAGAACAATATCTATGAACGAAGATTGGGATAGGCATAGTATTCTTTTGTCGCAATCCCTCATTAATTTGATCCTGAGAATATGTGTTGCTTCTCCCAATTCCTTCATAACAAAATGTTTGGATAATCATACATTTACGTCTGACAACACTTTTATATTATTTTCAATGAAAAGGATATCGTCGACATACAGTACAAGAAACAACACCACGTTTATGTCGTTTTTTTTTTTTTTTGTACACAGTGTTCATCTAGACATTGAGTAAATCAGTAAGACTGGATCACCTCATCGAACTGGATGTTCCAAGACCTTGAGGCCTGCTTTACTCTATTTAACCATTTAAGCTTATAAACCAGATGCTCTTGACCCTTGCAACGAACCCCTGTGGTTGTTGCATTACATGTTTTCCTCAAGACTCCCGTTAATAAAAGTTGTCTTTACATCCATCTGTCATATCTCATAATCCATATGAAGTGCCAACAACCAAAAGAATTCGAATGGACTTGAGCACGACTATTCTCATAATCAATTTTAGTTTTCTGAATATACCTTTTCGCTACAAGCTTTGGTTTGAAGGTTTCAACCTTCCCATCCAATCCTCTATCTCTTTCTTGTAGACTCACTTACATCCAGTAACTTTTACGCCAATGGGTGGTTCTATGAGATCCCAAACCTAACCAGAGTCCATTGACTCTATTTCAGCAACCATCGCACTTTGCCAAGATTGTGCATCTGTCTTGGAGTGCCTTATCGTATGACCATGGGTCAGTTTCAAGTTTACCTAAGACTAAGTCCAAAGACTCTCCTAAGAATATGAATATGTCGGTCTACCGAACAACCTTCCCACTACGACGAGGCACTACCTGCATAGGTGCATCATCGGTGCCACGTGTTGCAGTATATTGTGGCGCATCTACTTACACATGCGATATTGAAGATCTATCTTCATCTCTCACTTCATCTAGGGCAAGTCTACTTGTTGACTTTTGGTTTATAATATACTCTTTCTACAAATATCTAGCATTGTGCTATTGATCACCTTCTGATCCTTGGGACTGTAAAATAAACCACCTTTCTGACCCTTGGGGTATCCCACAAACAATTGTACTTTCAAATGACTTTCCAACTTATTAGTACCGTGCTTTAGCACATGTTACTGATAACCCCAAATCTAAATATGTTCCAGACTAGATTTACTCCCAGTCTAGAATTCACTTGGAGTAGTAGCAACTGATTTAGATGGAACTAAGTTCAGGATGTACGTTGTTGTTTCTAGGGGAAACCCCCCAAACCAATTTGGTAGATATGAAAAGCTCATCATTGACCTAACCATTTCTATAAGAGTTCTACAACACCGTTCTGTCAGGGAATGCACGACACAGATAATTGAGATTCAGTTCCAACCTCAGATAAATATGGCTTTCAACTCTCCTAAGAGGTATTCACCACCCGATCCAATCGGAGCGACTTGATACTCCTATCATGATGCTTCTCCACTAGTGACTTATACTCCTTGAATTTCTCGAGCATTTTGACTTGTAGCGCATCAGGTTGGTACAATTTATTATTTTTATCCATGCTTTATTGAATATTTAATCTTTAATTTAATTCATGTTTTAATTATTTTATTATACTTTTGGCAGACGTTACTGGTCTCGTCGATATAAAAAAAATGCAAACGAAGTCTTTTCACAACAGAACGATACGTTTTGCTAAAATAACTTTAGAGGATGTTGACATCCGAGTTCGCCCATGAGACTGAACCGGACCCCGCAATTCCGAGAGCCGAACCAGAGATCCGGTCCACCCATAGAGCGCCGAGCTGGACCAAAAAACTTTTTTGACCCTGGCATCG